CTCTCCCACACCCGAAAAATGATCCAATAGGATCCGTTGATGTTCTGCTATTTTAGTCCAAGGGGAAAAACGATCGGCCTGGGGATGCAGGGTTTAGCACCCCTCTCGCACTTCCACGCAGGGGCGGCGGTGACAGAACACACTCACAATACCCAAACATTTGCGAAATAATTGCAGTTCGAAGTCCCAGTGGAAGGATTTAGCACCCCTCTCGCACTTCCACGCAGGGGCGGCGGTGACAGAACACACTCACCATACCCAGGAATTTGCGAAAGAGTGCAAAGTGTTGGCGGGGGAGACGCAGTTCGAACTCCCACTTCCGCAGACCGAGAGGTTTTCCTCTTGAACCCCACATGTCGGAAGCGACGCGCCGTTCAGGTGAGCGGATACATGTAGCGCTCGCTTCGAGATGGGGTAGATATGTTATGGGTGGAAGTGCGGGAGTTGGCCGGGCCCGCTGTGGCGTTCGAGCAAACTTATGTTATGGGGGGACTTTCGGGAGATGGCCAGGCCCGCGGCGGCGATCGAGCAACCACATGTTATGGGAGAAGTGAAGGGAAGTGGCCGGGCCCGCTGCGGCGCTCGAGCTTCCGACTTGGACACTTTGTTTGTGTGTCCTCGCCCTCCCTCATCCCTTCCTCTCCTCCCTCCTCCCACTTCCCCCCTCCTCCTCCCACCTCCTCCCTCCTCCTCCTTCCTCTTTCGTCCGTCCGCCTCCCTCCTCTCTCCTCCCTCCTCCCTCGTCCTCCTTCTCCTCCTCCTTCTCCTCTTCCTTCCTCCTCCCCCCCTCTCTTCCCTGATTATTCCTCCTCTCTCCCCCCCTGCGTCCCCTCTGTTATCCTCCCACCTCCTCTCGCCTCTTCCCTCATCCTTCCCGTCTTCATCCTGGGAAGACCCCCCCTCCCCCGTATAATCATAGCATTGGTCTGCACATCCACAGCTCCGTGGATAGCATGATGCTTCACTTGCGGTGCTCCGCGGATCCTATTTCCCCTGGGTCCCGGATGTTAATTCTTATTCTATATTTATTCACGGGAAAAGAATGGATCCATCGTTTTTTCTCGCGCAGGAAATTGGATCCGCGCAGCACGGAAATAGGATCCACGAAACTCTCCCACACCGAATAATGATCCAATCGGATCCATTGATGTTCTCATATTTTTAATCCAAGAGGAAAAAACTTTCGGCCTGGGGATGCAGGGTTTAGCACCCCTCTCGCACTTCCACGCAGGGGCGGCGGTGGCAGAACACACTCACCATACCCAGAAATTTGCGAAAGAGTTGCAATTCGAAATCCCACTGAAGGGTTTAGCACCTCTGTCGCACTTCCACGCAGGGGCGGCGGTGACAGAACACACCCACCATACCCAGAAATTTGCGAAAGAGTGCAAAATGTTGGCGGGGGAGACGCAGTTCGAAATCCCACTTCCGCAGGCCGAAAGATTTTCCTCTTCAGCCCCACATGTCGGAAACGACGCGCCGTTCAGGTGAGCGGATACATGTAGCGCTCGCTTCGAGGTGGGGTAGATATGTTATGAGTGGTAATGCGTGAGTTGGCCGGGTCCGCTGTGGCGTTCGAACAATCTTCTGTTATGGGAGGACTTTCGGGGGATGGCCAGGCCCGTGGCGGCGAGCGAACAGCCACATGTTATGGGAGAAGTGAAGGGAAGTGGCCGGGCCGCTGTGGCGTTCGAGCGTCCGACTTGGACACTTTGTTTGTGTGTCCTCGCCCTCCCTCATCCCTTCCTCTCCTCCTCCTCCCACTTCCCCCCTCCTCTTCCCGCCTCCTTCCTCTTCCTCCTTCCTCCTTCGCCCGTCCGCCTCCCTCCTCTCTCCCCCCTCCTCCCTCATCCTCCTTCTCCTCCTCCTTTTCCTCTTCCTTCCTCCTCCCCCCCTCTCTTCCCTGATTATTCCTCCTCTCTCCCCGCCTGCGTCCCCTCTGTTATCCTCCCACCTCCTCTCGCCTCTTCCCTCATCCTTCCCGTCTTCATCCTGGGAAGACCCCCCTCCCCCGTAGAATCATAGCATTGGTCTGCACATCCACAGCTCCGTGGATAGTATGATGCTTCACTTGCGGTGCTCCGCGGATCCCATTTCCCCTGGGTCCCGGATGTTAATTCTTATTGTATATTTATTCCCGGGAAATCCGCCGGCCCCCTTGTGGGGCCACCAGGCTGTAGGAGCGGGATTCGCAATTTCCTGTACCAGTTGTAGCTTGTAGTTTCCAGTGTTACAGTTCTGCTTATTGCTGGTTACTGTAAGTAGTTGATTGACCGCGCGAGGGGGGGGAGGCCCAAACCGGCTTTTTAGCACCTCCTGGGCGCGTTGTCTGAATTGCTGGGGGGGCTCGAAATCACACCCCTCACGCAGATCCGCGGGGCCAGGGTCCAAAAACACAGGGGATTTGCCACATTTGTGAAATTCGGTGCCACCCCTCACGCAGATCCGCGGGGTCAGGGTCCAAAAACACAGGGGATTTGCCACATTTCTGAAATTCGGTGCCACCCCTCACGCAGATCCGCGGGGTCAGGGTCCAAAAACATAGGGGATTTGCAACATTTCTGAAATTCGGTGCCACCCCTCACGCAGATCCGCGCTGTCAGGGTCTAAAAACACGGGGGATTTGCGACATTTCTGAATTTCGGCGCCACCCCTCACGCAGATCCGCGGGGTCAGGGTCCAAAAACATATGGGATTTGCCACATTTCTGAAATCCCGTGCCACCCCTCACGCAGATCCGCGGGGTCAGGGTCCAAAAACACAGAGGATTTGCAACATTTCTAAAATTCGGTGCCACCCCTCACGCAGATCCGCGGGGTCAGGGTCAAAAAACACAGGGGATTTGCCACATTTCTGAATTTCGGCGCCACCCCTCACGCAGATCCGCGGGGTCAGGGTGCAAAAACACAGGGGATTTGCCACATTTCTGAAATTCGGTGCCACCCTTCACGCACATCCATCGCAAGGCGTGGTAACCCAAACTGCGAGAACTCCCTCGGCCCTTTAATCGCAAGGTGTGGTAACCAAGCCCGTAAACCATACACGTCTTACCAATCGCCAGGTGTGGTAACCCCTCTTGTGATCAGTTGGTTTTGCTGATTGCGAATCGGCTTCGCATGAAGTTTCGATACTGCTTCACGACAGCGCCAAGGCCTCATGACTTAGCTCTTCCATGGCCCATTCTCCGAGAGAGGGGGCCGGCGGCAGGGGGCGAAGCCCTTACGGATAAATGGATCCATGTTTTTTTTCTCACGCAGGAAGTTGGATCCGCGCGGCACGGAAATACGATCCACGACGCTCTCCCACACCCGAAAAAAAGGACCCACTTGGATCCATTGATGTTCTCATATTTTTAATCCAAGAGGAAAAAACTTTCGGCCTGGGGATGCAAGATTTAGCACCCCTCCCGCACTTCCACGCAGGGGCGGCGGTGACAGAACACACCCACCATACCCAGAAATTTGCGAAAGAATGCAAAGCGTTGGCGGGGGAGACGCAATTCGAAATCCCACTTCCGCAGGCCAAGAGATTTTCCTCTTGATCCCCACATGTCGGAAACGACGCGCCGTTCAGGTGAGCGGATACATGTAGCGCTCGCTTCGAGGTGGGGTAGATATGTTATGGGTGGAAATGCGTGAGTTGGCCGGGCCCGCTGTGGCGTTCGAGCAAACTTCTGTTATGGGAGGACTTTCAGGAGATGGCCAGGCCCGCGGCGGCGATCTAGCAACCACATGTTATGGGAGAGCTGAAGGGAAGCGGCCGGGCCCGCTGTGGCGTTCGAGCTTCCGACTTGGACACTTTGTTTGTGTGTCCTCGCCCTCCCTCATCCCTTCCTCTCCTCCTCCTCCCACTTCCCTTCTCCTCCTCCCACCTCCTCCCTCTCCTCCTTCCTCTTTCGTCCGTCCGCCTCCCTCCTCTCTCCTTCTTCCTCCCTCATCCTCCTTCTCCTCCTCCTTCTCCTCTTCCTTCCTCCTCCCCCCTCTCTTCCCTGATTATTCCTCCTCTCTCCCCCCTGCGTCCCCTCTGTTATCCTCCCACCTCGTCTCGCCTCTTCCCTCATCCTTCCCGTCTTCATCCCGGGAAGACCCCCCCTCCCCCGTAGAATCATAGCATTGGTCTGCACATCCACAGCTCCGTGGATAGCATGATGCTTCACTTGCGGTGCTCCGCGGATCCCATTTCCCCAGGGTCCCGGATGTTACTTCTTCTTCTTCTTCTTCTATATATATATATATATAGATATCCCTGGGAAATAGATGGATCCATCGTTTTTTTCCACACACAGGAAATTGGATCCGCGCAGCACGGAAATAGGATCCACGAAACTCTCCCACACCCGAAAACAATCCAATTGGACCCATTGGTGTTCTCATATTTTAGTCCAAGAGGAAAAACACTTTCGGCCTGGGGGTGCATTTTCTTTCCTCATCCAAATCCCTCCTTCTACTTTCGGGGAGGGGCACTGAGGTTTTGTTGAGCGGCCCGTGATGTGTCAGAGGGTCCTTTTTCGCTCAAGATGGCTCCAAGAGGGCCTCCGATGCTCCAAGATGGCCTGCAAGGAGGCTCAAGATGACCGAATATGGTTCTAGATGGCTTCTGACGTACGTCCAAAAGGCCCGAGTGGGGCCACAAGACGGTTCCAAGCGCTCTCGGGCCCCCCTCAGCCCCCACCCCCCCAAGAGGCCAACATCCTGCAAGTACCTTAGGAACGTCAGTGAATTTGGCCTTCTCGCCTTTTCACATCCGATGCGCTTTGAGGCCTCAAGGCCTCAATATTGCCCCAAGACGGCTCAAGTGAGCGCCAACAGGGGCCCAAAAGGCCCCCTAGATAACCACAGCACCGCCCAAGAGCGGCCGAAGAGCGCCCCAAGAGGACCCCAAGGGACGATTTTGAGGGCCCCAGACGGGGGGGCAAACCTTACGACCCCTCTCTTTTCACCGACGCCCTCTACGAAAGACCCCAGAAGCCCTCCAGGGCTTCCAATAAGCCTCCAAACGAGCCCCAAGACCCCCCCAAAAGAGCCCTCAGAAGACCCCAGAATCCGCCAACGAGCCCCAAGAGGGCTCCGAGAAGCGATTTTGACTTCTCCTGCCCCTCCTTTCCTCCTCCTCCTTTCCTCCTCCTCCTCCTCCTCCTCCTCCTCCTCCTCCTCGTCCTTGCCCTCATCGTCTTTTTTTCTCTGTTCCTCCTCTTTCTGGTCGTCGTCGTCGTCGTCGTCGTCGTCATGGTCGTGGTCGTGGTCGTGGTCGTGGTCGTGGTCGTCGTCGTCGTCGTCGTCGTTGTCGTCGTCTTCCTCCTCCTCCTTGTCCACCTTCGCCCCCGCGCGGGCCCCAAGGATGGCCCGAAGAGGCCCTCCAAAGCCACCCCCTTGCTCCAGAGATCTCTCTGTTCACCCTGGTTGTCCGCTCTGTTTCGCTATGTGTGTCTGCTCGCCCCTTTTCCTGTCAGCTCTCATGGGCAGGGTTTCTAAATGGGCTGGTGGGGATACTTTTTGGTCAACAGGCTCGCGAGGCGGGTAGAAAACCGTCCGAACACTAGTCGGGCCGCGACTAGGCAGCAAGAACAGAAAGGCACGTGAAGCGAGCGACCGGGCAGCCCCTCAGAAGGAGAGCCAGAACCGGCCCTCCCAAACCCGGTGGCGTTGGAAATCCCGGTGGCGACCAGCAAGTAAACGCAGCCAAAATGGCGCGGCGGCGCGACCATAACGCTGGTGGGGATTTTTTTTATTGCGGCCGCGCGACAACGGTCTGGCGGCGAGAGCAGTGTCCGGGGCAGCGGCACAGTGCGAATTAGCGAACGCAGCAGCCAGGATGACAAGCCGAGACGCGCCTGCACGCAGGTTTGCATATGCACATGCACAGGCTGGTGGGGATACTTTTGATTCGCGGCCCGCAAGGAGAAGTCCAGAGGGCGGTATGAGCTGGTGGGGATACGCGAAGCGTGAAGAATTGCATCGCGTAGCATACAAAGGCCCTTGTTGGTGACCCTCCTGTCGTCCAGTACGAGGTCCACCAGGCATTCGGCGGCAGGTTTTTTTTGTTTGCCACTAGCCGGAATTGCCGTCACCCAGAAAGCGTCAGCTACGGCAGACCTGGTTTAGTGATTCAAGTCCATATTTTGGGTTTCGGGGCCCACTCACTAACAGGCTCCCCTTAACCAGGGTCCTGGCTATGCCCGACATTCTTCCAAGGCGGGGTTCCAGAAACCCTGAACCCAAATGCGTTTTCATCCCTTGGGGGCGCTTCTTTTACTTCCGCTGCCTTCCGCCGGCCTTCCGCTGGCTTTCGACTGCGGAAGCGGCCTCGCTTTCCTTCCGCCGGCTTCCGCCGGCCTTCTGCCGGGGGAGACATGCCAACTCCTTCGATCCTCGAAGGCGAGGCCGTTTCTCGAATGCTTCACATGGCGATGTGGCAGGCTAGTTGGCTGGACCCCCCATTTCACTTCTTCAGCTTCTGTCCTCTCCTTCGACAGCCGGGCCTAAGACAAAACTCAAGGAAGCGAGACCCTCCGCCGGTCCAAACGCACATCACATCCGAGGGCACCCTCCTCCAGGTGCACGAGAGCACCAAACAAACACGGAGAACACTAGGGCAGCCTCCCCGAACCGACCTCGATCTGATACATCGGTCCACAGAGATCCGATGTCGTGATTTTTTCAATACGGGGTCCCCGGAAGTCTCGACCCATTCCCCAGGACCTGTTTTCCATCCTGAGTCGTTTTTTGACGGTCCCGCGGCCTGGCGAGGGCCCCTAGAGGCCGAAAACTGAGAAACACCGCCGCCTTTGCTTTTTTGCAATGCGTTGGATCTCTGGGTCCGACTGCACCACCCTGCCCCGCAAACTGGCTTGCCCAGCAGCTCCAGGGCGAGGCCTCCCTCGCCTCTGCCCCTGGGGTCCAGCAGCTGCAGGTCGGCTCCCAGCCCAGCTTCTGGGCAACTCAGCGCGCACGCCCCGGCAACGCGGCACGTTCTGGCCATCGCTCGGACGCACATTTTTCCTTGTATGTTTGATATCGGGTGTGTATTGTTTTGGCCCACGATGAACCAGGATGCCCCTCGATGGTTCTCGCTGGGGAAAGGATGCACACGTCCGAGCGATACCAGGAGTTACAATTAGAAGGCTCCTCCCGTTTCCTCCCGGCGCGTACCTTGGGGCGGTCCTGGTCCTTAGCCTCCACTGGCTGGCCGATCAGCAACGCGATGTAGCGCTACTCGAGTTTTTGCAGCACCAGGCTAACTGGTGCTTTCTGGCTGACCCCTTCTAAGACACCTCCTCCTCCCTTCTTCTTCTTCTTCTCCTTCTTCTTCTCCTTCTTCTCCTTCTCCTTCTCCTTCTTCTTCTTCTTTTCCTTTTCTTCTTCTTCGTCTTCTCCTCCACCCTCCCTCCTCCTTCTTCCCCTCCTCCTCCTCCTCCTCCTCCTCCTCCTCCTCCTCCTCCCTCCCTCCTCCCTCGTCCTTCTCCTCCTCCTCCTCCTCCTCCTCCTCCTCCTCCTCCTTCTTCCCCTCCTCCTCCTCCTTCTCCTCCTCCTCCTCCTCCTTTCTCCTCTCCCTCCCCCCTCTGGTCGCCGTGCCAGCCGCCGCTTGCCGAGGCCCGCTGGGCCGGGCGCAAAGTAGCGCGTGTGGCGGCCGTGGGGCGTCACGACGCCGCAGACGATCCTGTCCAGCCTGCGCAGCGGCAGACACTTTTTTATACCATCCAGCGAAGCCCTGCGGCGGAGGAGCCGGGGAAGGGGAGAAGGAGGGGAGGCGGGGGGGGAAGCCCTTCGGGCTACGTCGCCGAGGACCCCAATCCCGTCGCCACGGCTAGCTCCGCCACGAAATCTGGAGCTGACCAACACCAGGCGGCTGCCCCGCGCCAGGTCGGCGACGACCTCGGCCACGAGGATGACTTCGGGCGCGTGCTGGAGGAGGACTTCGACCTGGAGGAGAAGTACGCTGGCGTGAAAGTCAACGCCTACGCAGGGCATCGACAACACCAGGAAGAGCGAGGGCAAGGAGGACGCATGCCTGGCGGACGGCGACGAGGGCGACGACGAGCCCTCAGCAGGGGCCCCTCGCCCCGACGGCCCTCACGACCACGCCAGGACATGCCGCGAAGACCCCCCGCCCGACTCCCCGCCGCACGCTCTGCCTGCCGCTCCGGCCCTTCCCTGCTCCCGCCCCCGCGACCCCTCGCGGCTGCCCCGCGACCCCCCCGCCCGACGGCCCCCACGAAGTCCCCCACGGCCCCTCGCCCGAACCGACGGCCCCCTCGACCCCGCGACCCCCCACCCAAGGGCACCCGCGACGTTCCCCTGCGACGGCCCCACGCCCTCACAGGGCTCCCCGCCACGACGACCCGATACCCTGCCCGAGACTCCCCACCCGACGCCTTGCCCAGCTCCCACGCCGACGCCCGCCCCCACCCTTTCTACCCGACGGCTCGCCATGCGGCCTCACCGCGGCCCACTCACTGCTGGACCCACCTCGGCTGTGCGGTCAGCGCTGCAAACCTCCTGCCCCACGCTCTGCCCTCCCACGACGGCTTACCGCGACGACCCAACGCCTCGCCCCACTCCCAGCCCTACGCCCCACCCCACTCCCCACCCGACGCCTCGCCCCGCGACCACCCCACGCCCGACGCCCTACCCGCTGCCCCACCCGACCCTCCACCCCAACCCGACGGACTCGACGTTCGATACCTTCCCCGCGATGCCCAAACCCGCGACGCTGTCCTGCCCCCAAGCGGATGACCTTCACCCTGTGGGACCTCGAGGTCCGCTGAACCCAACTCGTCCTCGCCGTCGCCGGCGCCGCCGCCAGCACCCACATCGACGACTTCGCCGGCACCGGCGCCATTGACGTTCAGATCCGGTACCTCCACGACGAGCGCCGACGGGTCAATACGGCCTGGCAACAACAGCTCTAAAAAATCTGCGAGATGGAGGTGGAACTCAAGGCGCTGGACCACCTAGCGGCCGACCTGACGCACGAACTCCCACACCTGACGCCCCACCCGACCTGTCCTTCCGACGCCCCTCCCGATCCCTCCCCACGCCGGGTGCGTTTCACCGACGCCCTGCCTGGCGTCCATAACCCCGATGACGACGAAGCCCCCGCCCAAGCAACGCGGAACGTAGAGTCCGACGCCCTCCCAATCGACACCGCCCCTGCCGACATGAGGCCTGTTCGGCGCGTGCGATTCGCCGACGCACCATAGACTGCACCAGCCATCCACCCACGCAGGGATGGATGGCCACCGAGAGCAGGGAACAGCTGTACCCTACAGCGACGACCCCAGCCTAAGACTTGGTCAACCCCGACCACTCCTTCCCTTTCCCCTCCCGCCGCATGGGTAGCCGGCCCGTGGCACGGGCCAGGTCCACCCCTGGATCGCCATCTTGACGCACCCATGCGAAGACCTCCCCACTCCACCCACCCCACCCTTGCCCAACGCGCACACGCTCCCGACCTCCCCACGACCACACCGACGGCACCCCTGGGGGTGGCAACACCCGCCTCGGCCCCGACCAGAACCAGAGCGGCCGCGAGGCTTTCAGGCAGGTGCCCCCCCCCCCTCCCCCCCCCCCTTGGCGGTGCACCCTGGGGGGTCAGCGCGCCAGCCCGCGGCCCGCCACCTACGCGTCCCTCTTGTCCCTCCTCGCTCGCTCGGTCCCTAGGTTCGCCCTCTCTTCGGTCCCCCTTCGTGCCCCCCCCCCCCGTGCCGTCCCGCTCGCTGGCCTCACCAACGGCCGCAAGCGAGCCGCTTTCGGAATAGCCCCATCTTTGCCACACGGGAGCCGGCGAGGGGGCACGGGCTTCTGGCCACAAACCAAGACAGTCTTTAGCAGCATCAGCAGCAGCTGCAGGAGGATGAGGAGCAGGAGCAGGAGGTGGAGGGGCAGGCAGCAAACCTCAACTTGCCTTCAGTGTGCGGGCGAGCGCGCGATGTGGAGGGGGCGGGGGACGAGGGAGGAAGAGAAGGGAGGAGGAGGGAGGAAGAAGGAGGCAGGAGGAGGAGGAGGAGGAGGAGAAGGAGGGGGAGGAGGAGGAGGAGGCATAACGAGGGAGGAAGAGGAGGGACCAAAGCCCCCCCCCCCCCCCCCAGAAGCAGACGCGGCAGCCTGTCCAGCTCGAAGGTCTGACCCTCCCTGTAGCCGTCCAGCGCCTCCTCGGCCACGTGCATCGGGCTCCGCTCCTGGGGCGGGGGCCGCCAGCGTGCGCGCCAAGCTTCGCCCTCGACCCTCGCGGGTCGACGCCCTCCTCGACGTCCTCGACGTCATCGACGTCCGCGACCCTCGCGCCGAGCTTCCCCCACGAGCCGCGAGGGTCGACGCCCTCCTCCTCTGCCCTGCCCTGCCCTGCTGTGCCTCGCCCTGCTCCGCCCCGCCCTGCCCGCCGTCGCCGTCGCCGTCGCCGCCTCCGCCGTCGTCGTCGTCGTCGCCGCCGTCGCCGCCGTCGTCGTCGTCGTCGTCGTCGGCGTCGTCGTCGTCGTCGCCGCCGTCGTCGTCGCCATCGTCGTCGTCGTCGTCGCCGTCGTCGTCGTCGTCGGCGTCGGCGTCGTGATCCAGCCATAATCGGCTCTGGCCGCCTCCTGGGGCCAGTCCAGCGCAATTCTCGGAGCTGCGCCGGCCGCGGCGACGAGAACCCACAGAAAGCGCGCGCAGCCCCCCGACGTCGACGTCGTCGTCGAGGTCGACCTCGGACCTCCTCAGACCTCTCGTGGGGTGCGCTTCGGCGAGAATTTCAAAGGAAGTCTAGCCTCGGCGGCGGAGAGCGCCCAAAGAGGCCGCCAAGAAGGGCCGAGGCGCTTCAACATCCTGCCGGTGTGCCCTCCTCGCCGTCGCCGTCGTCGCCACCATCTCCGTGGCCGTCGTATTCGTCGTCTTCTCGTCGCCGTCGCCGACGTCGCCGCCGCTGCCGCCGCCCTCGCCTTCTCGTCTTCTCGTCGCCGTCGCTGTCGCCGCCGCCGCCATCGCCGCCGTCGCCTTCTCGTCCCGCCGCCGCCGCCGCCGCCGTCGTCGTCGTCGTCGTCGTCGTCGTCGTTGTCGGCGTCGTCGTCGGCGTCGGCGTCGGCGTCGTCGTCGCCGTCGCCGTCGCCGCTCCGCCGCTGTCGCCGCCGCCCGTGAGCTCGCTTCTGGGGCGCCGCCAGGCCTCGGCCGCGTCGCCGCTGGGTGCAGCGGGCCGGGCGCCGCTGCCAGACGCCGGGGTGGTGGGCGCCTCGGCAGGCGGGCGTCTGTACCGGAGCCGGATGAGCACATGCACAAGCAAGGGCTCTCAACTTCGCGCTTCGCGCTGCGCGAAGCGCGAAGTGCGAATAACTTCGCGCTCTCGCGCCGCCTCCCAGGGGGGAAGAGGAGGAGGAGGAGAAATCGGAGCCGAACCGCGAAGCGCGAGTAACTTCGCGCCCTCGAGGGCGCCCTTGAAAAAACTATCGGCATTCGGCTCGAACCCGCTGAGACCATGAGGACCATGCGGACAGCACAGCCCACTCCGCTCCCAGCCAGGACTCGCTCGTTCGACCTGGTGATCCAGGGGTCCTAGCCAGGGTTGAGGACGGTTTTTTCCTCAACGAACCCCAGCAAAAACACCCCACCACCCTCAGTCAGGACCCTCTGGATCACCAGGTCGGGAGTGGGGAACCTGGCTGGGGGTGGGTTGCGCTGTCCTCAGTACAGGGTAGCTTGACTCAGAGTGCTGCGCGAGCTAACGAAAATCATCGCTGTGCGCGCGTTGCCGCATTCCAACTCCACTAAGGAAGAACAAACGACATGAATAAACACTTTCAGAGGTCAAGGGGGCTCAGCGCCGATCCAAGAAATCCGCGCGGACCTCCTAGTGCGTCTCTCTCTCTCTCTCTCTCTCTCTTATTTTCTCACTCCCTCTCCCTCTCTGCCAGAACCGTGTGCTCGTCAGATACAAGCTGTATCTCGTCCGTGCCGACGGCGTTCAAGCTTCCTGCTCACTGGAACCGTCTGGTGATGGGCAGTGTAGAAGTATCTTCGGAACAAGGATTGGCAGTTGTTCGCTGGTGTGTCCCACTGGAAAGTCGTGACGACGCCCACGCGAAGAGCCTGGTGTCTGTACGCCAAGTCTTCGGCGTGCTGTTGGTACATGCACAGACAGGCAGCCGTAATGATGATTTTGTTGACGACGGTGAGACGGCGAAGGGTGACGATTTCGAGGATGAGAAGGTGGAGAGGGAGGAGGATATGGAGAAGGCTTTGGAATCATGGTGGAGGTGGTAGGCAAAAACGACACTGTGACTCGGCGACCAGACGGGACAGCAGAACATATGATGATGATGATGATGATGATGATGATGATGATGATGATGATGATGATGATGATGATGATGATGATGATGATGATGATGTGGGTAAGACGGTGAATGTTGTTGACGATGATGGTGATGTTGATGACGATGCGGCTGCTGCTGCTGATAATGATGCTGATTGTAATGATGGTGGTGATGAGGAGGATTGTGATACTGCCGCTGCTGCTGCCGCTGATGATGATGATGCTAGGGTGAGGATGCAGATGATAACGATGATAACGATGCTGATGACGATGATGATGATGCTTATGATGATGATACTGATGCTGCTGCTGATGAGGATGCTGCTGATGATGACGATGCTACGGCTGCTGTTGATGATATCTAGGTTTAGGATGATACAGATCATGCGAATGCTAACGATATTGGTGATGATGGTGATGCTACTGATGATGATGGTGATGCTGCTGATGATGATGCAAATAATGTTGCTGGTGCTGCTGCTGATGTTGATGCTGATTCGGATGCTGCTGATGATGATGACGATGCTGATGACGACGATTGCGATGGGTATGATGCTGGTGGTGCTGGTGCTGGTGCTGGTGATGATGATGCTGCTGATGATGATGATGCTGATGATGCTGATGATGATGATGATGAGGATGATGATGATGATGATGCTGATACGGAGGATGATGATGAGGATGAGGAGGAGCAGGAAGAGGCGGAGTAGTAGTAGTAGTAGTAGTAGTAGTAGTAGTAGTAGTAGTAGTAGTAGTAGTAGTAGTAGCAGGAGGAGGAGGAGGAGGAGGAGGAGGAGGAGGAGGTCGAGGCCGCGTTCCTACCGGTCGCGTCCATTCGGAAGAGGGGGAGGAGGACGAGGAGGAGAAGTAGGAATGGGCGGAAGAGGAGGAGGGGCGCTGCATGTGGCTGGGCTGCGGCACGTGCGCGCGTTCCTCCTCCCTCGCTGGATGAGCCCCCCCGCGCGCCCTGGAGGAACTCCCAGGGCAAGCCCGCCGCCGAGGTCGCCGCCCACCGTGTCCCCCCCGCGCCACGAGAACCGGGGGGAGCACCGCGCCGTGCCGCCAGCGCACGCCGCCCGCCCCGAAGGGGCCGAACATCAGCGCCGCCCTGATGGACATCACGACCGAAGGTCTGTGGCACTCTTCGGCGCCTGGGGGTCCTCACCGGCCCCGGGACCGTCAAACAACGACTCGGGATGAGAAATTGGCCCCAGGGAAGGATGCAGACCTCTGGGGGTCCACGCTGTGAACAGGTCACGACGTTGGAGCTCCAGGTCAACAGGGCCCAAGAAGGCTCCCAAAAGGGCCCCACGAAGGGCTCCACAGCGTCAGCGTCGTCGTTGTCGTCGTCGTGGCCGCCACCGCCGCCGCCGCCGCCGCCGCCGCCGCCGTCGTCGTCGTCGTCGTCATCGTCGTCGTCGTCGTCGTCGTCGCCGTCGTCGTCTTTGCCGCTGCAGGCAGGTGCCGCTCTCCTGCATCGTCCCGTGCGGAGGCGGCACTCTCTCTCTTGCCACGCCTCCCTGCGCGCTGCCGAGGTGCGCGCTGCTGGGCACCCCTCCGTCGGTGGCGCCGCGAGCCCAGGGCACCCAGCTTCGCGCCCCGCGCCGCCGCCTTCGCGCCAACAAGCGCCCTCCGCGCGCACGACAGGGACACTGCGCGACACCTCTCCGAGGCTCGTCTCCTCGTGGGCGGTCCGTCGCCCCGCGCCCCGCGCCCCGCGCCGCCACCTCCGCGCCCCTCGCGCCGCCACCCCCGAGGCAGGGCAGCCCCCCGCCCAGGGCCCAGACCGCGACGCGCGATCGCCTTCGCGCCTCCGCGGGTGACCCGGCTCCTCCTCCTCCTCCTCCTCCTCCTCCTCCTCCTCCTCCTCCTCCTCCTCATCGCCGCCTGGTGCTCGGGTCACGGCTCAGACCTCCCGCGGCCGTTCGGCGCTGCCCGGGCACCCCCAGAATGATCTCGGCGAGGAGCGGCGGCTGGAAGGCACCCCGCGGCTGGAGAACCGCCGCGGGCCGACGAAACTGCCCGAATACCTCTACTGCTGGCGCCGCAAAGGTGGCGCGCAGCGCACCGATCTCCGAAAAGCGCGCTATCTCTCCCCCCCCCCCCCAAGTGAGGCTTCCTCCGTGCACGCTGTCCCTGTGAGGCGACCCCCCTGCGAGGGATCCCTTCCTCCTGTCACGGCTTTCTTCGGTGCACGCCATCCTCAAGGGTAGGGGACAGCGTGCAATGCGTGGGCCGGCGGCGCCGCATCCCGCAACCTCGAACCTCTCCCCTCTGCCCATCGACAGGGGCCTCCCAGATGGGGTCCGAGTAGATGTAGTTGGAGGATTGCGCCGCATCGCCGATGCATCGCCGATGCATCGACGGCGTCGGTGACGAATCGGCAGGCAACGTTCACGTGGAAATCGAGCCGCATCGCCGATGCATCGGCGATGCGGCGCGATCCTCCGACCCCATCACTCCGACCCCACCTGGGAGGCCTGGAAAAGAGGCCACTTTGCTGGCTCTTGCGAACCGACGCCGACCGACGCTGAGCGGCGCCACTCGACGTTGCATTGACGCCAATCGACGCCACATCGCCGCTTCCTCGTCCATTTTCCGACGCTGGCGCACGCAAATGCACTCCAAAGGCGGGAGTGCGAGGACATGCAAGGCTCCCATGACTTGCTACCGAACTCGCCCCTCAGCCTATGTTGCACCCATCGTATTTCAGGACCACATCCCAGAACTGATTTCGAGCACCCAGAAGAAAAACGAAACATTGTCGAACGAATATCGCCTCCCAGAACCCGACCCGTGAACACCCTCCAGCTTCGGTACTTTGTTGGTGCTCGACATGCGTTCTGGTGATCAAGACTCACGTCGGTTGGAACATCATAACCCTCAGCCCATGGAGGCAGGGCTGCCCTGAGCCCGGCGCCGGGGGAGGGGGCCGCAGCATCTGCAGGCGCAGCCGGCGGCACACCAGCAGGCTCGCGGCCGCCTGCTCGAGGGCTCGGGGCGCGCGCGCGCGGGGGCGGGCGGGGCGGAAGGCGTGGGTGACCGCCTGCGCCCAGAACGATGCATCACCTCTTCCTTGGGGAGGGAGCGTGCTCCCTCCATAAGGAGCGTGCTCCCTCCCTCCCCATGGACGTTGGTGATCACCTGCGCCCAATGGTTGCTTCTTCTTGTGGCCACGGAAGACGCTCGAGGCCCGTCATCAAATGGAAGTGGGAGGGGCGCGCGGACTCTTGCTGAGGCTAAGGCGGGCCAGCAGCTCTCCGACCACTGCCGACCCAGAGACGCGCAAGAGACCAGTGACGTAACGTCTACGCAGATTGTGTGTCCTATATTAGAACAGCCCTCTGAGCAGCCCCCGGCTGATGGCCAGGGAGGCCAAGCAACGGTCGATGGGGGTTGGGCGGCACGGGACCCTGACACCCCCGCGCTGCACATAAATCACGACGGACACTTTTTGGTGACTGTGCCAAAACCTGCCCAGGATGAACAGCGACTTCCAGGGGCAAGGAGTCCAGACCTCTGGGGGCCCACGTTGTAACAAAAATCACGACGTCTGATGTCTGGGTAGGAGGGGGGCACTGCTGCTGGGTGTGGGACGGCATGGGGTGGGAGGGAGGGACAGGTGATGCGCCCAAATCTCTGACAATGTGACTATTTCAGCCGGCGTTTTTTCGTAGATTTCGGCCTCTGGGTCGCGCTTTCGGGCCCCCAGGACCACCAAAAGCGGATCTGGGGCGAAAAACTATCCCCGGGGACGCCGTCAGGACCTCCAAGGCCGCGGATTGAAAACAGCGACCGGCGGATGTCAGGATGAAGAGCATGCACTTGGTGGGTCCTCCTCCTCCTCCTCCTCCTCCTCCTTCTCCTCCCTCCTCCTCCTCCTCCTCCGCCTCCCTCCTCCTTCTCCCTCCTCTTCGTGCTCTTTCTCCCTCCCCCTCCCCCTCCCCCTCCCCCTCCTCCTCCTCCTCCTCCTCCTCCTCCTCCTCCTCCTCCTCCTCCTCCTCCTCCTCGTCCTCCATTTCCATCAGCGGTGCAGCAGCATGCTCTGAAAGGAGTTCGAGGGCCAACTCTTCCGCGGAGGAGAAGGTTGCACCCGCCGCGCACGCTGATGAACACCACCTACCACTCTGCCCATCGGAGCTGCCGCGAACGACACTAAACCTATTTCGGGCGAGATAGATGGAAACGAGCGAGCGAACGGAGTGGGCAAGAAACAAGAAGGACACCTGGAGCACACTGAAGCGAGGAACGTGGATGATGAGGAGGAGAAGGGACAGGATGAGGAGGGAGGGGAAGGAGGATGAGCAGGAACACAAAGAGGAGGAGGGGGAGGGAGGGAGGAATACGAGGAGGAGAGAGGGAGGGAGGAAGATGCGGAGGATGAAGAGGAGGACGGGGTAAATGGGGGAATCAAGGAGGACCATCCACGGGTCCTCCAGGCACATCGGGGAGCGGTGCCACATATATTGCGCCCAGGAGGAGCCAGTCAGGGATCGAGAGCGGGAGGGAGGAACGAGGGGCGCGGCAGGCAGGACTGGAGAGAGGAGGCATGAGGGGAGGGACAGATTGGGCTGCAGGGGGGATAGAGTCGAACCAAGCCCGAGGCTTCTTCCTCCCTCCTCCTCCTCTCATACTCCCCCTCCGCCTCCTCCTCCTCCTCCATCCTCCTCCTCCTCCTGTTCCTCCCCTCCCCCTCCTCCTCCTCCTCCTCCGCCTCCTCCCTTCCTCCTCCTCCTCCTCCCCCTCTCCTCCTCCCCTCGTCCTTCTCCCCCCTCCTCTCTCCTCCTCCTCCTCCTCCTCCTCCTCCACCTCCTCCACCTCTCCTCCTCCTCCTCCTCCTCCTCCTCCTCCTCATCCTCCTCCTCCGCCTCCTCCCCCCCCTGCTGCGCCTGCTGCTCCTGCTGCTCCTGCTGCTGCTGCTGATGATCCTCCTCCTCCTCCTCCTCCTCCTCCTCCTCCTCCTCCTCTTCCTCCTCCTGCGCTACCACCTGAGGCGCAGACGAAGGTTACTTCGCCACCTCTTAAAAAGAACCTCGCAGGCGAGAGAACTCTCCCCTGACCCCTGGGGTCTCTCTTCCGCGGAACGAGATCGCGGGCACCAAACTACAAACTTGAAAAGTGTGGTCTCCCCAGCGGGCTCGGAGAGCCCGCAAGCCTCCCCGAGGCAGCCTGGACCGACGAACCCAGCGGGCGGTCGTCGGCCAGGCTATCGCGGGACGACTGCGGACCCCTCAAGCCCCTGGAACGGAGTCTGGCCAATGCTTCAGTCCTTTGGGCAGCCGCCCTTCGTCTATCCTCTTGAGCGTGCTCTTGCCATCCCTGCTGAGACCAGGCGCACACGGGGACGACAACTGAATGAAACGCGTGACTCCCTGGGCCGCACATGCCCTACATAACTAGAGTCCTCGCACCTGCTCCACTCCTCCTCCTCCTCCTCCGCCTCCTCCTCCTCCTCCTCCTTTTCCTCCTTCTCCTCCTCCTCCTCCTCCTCCTTCTCCTCCTCTTCCTCGTCCTCCTCGTCCTCCTCGTCCTCCTCGTCCTCCTCGTCGTCCTCCTCCTCCTGTTCCTCCTCCTCCTCCTTCTCCTCCTCCTCCTCCTCCTCCATTCCTTTTCCTTATACATAACTTCTCCCTGTCGCGCCCCGGGGCCAATTTTTTAGGGCGGGCCAGGCGTTCGCCTGAGACTTCCTCACCATTCATGACTCTGAAGCTTACAACCTGGTGACCGTTTCGCAGATTGAGGGCAGGTGGCTTTCAACATTTGGTTTGCGCATTCGCGCGACGAACATTCGTTTTAAACATTTGCAGGAGTTTCACGGGTTGAGGGCGGGTCGTTTTCAACATGTAGCTATCGCCTTAGCGCGGCGCACATTCGTATTAGACATTTGCAAAAGCTTCACGGATTGAAGGCAGGTGGTTTTCAAATATTGGCTCTCGCCTTAGCGCGGCGCGCATTCGTTACAACAACTTGCAAGAGTTTCGCATACTGAGGGCGGTTCCTTTTCAGAATGTGGTTCTCGCCTTAGCGCGGTGCGCATTCGTCTTAAACATTTGCAACAAGAGTTCCACGGAATCCAATCATCAACGCATCAACGTGCCAAAACTTGTGTTTTGAAGGGGTTCAGGGTTATGCGGGTGCAGCAATTACGTTGATTCGCTGCGTTGAAATCCCAGGGAGGGCGTTGTGGGACGATTCAGGATTATCAAGGTGTGAGGTTGATTCAATCCCGAGAACAATGTTTTGGCATGCTGCAGGGTCTTCCAACGGTTGTCTTCCAAAGAGGCAGCTCCTTCAATCAAAATGAACAGTTGTAGGGGCCTGCGAAGAGGGATCTTGAAGGGAGGGTTTATTCCAACATCGTTGATGACCCTTGGGCTTACACTGGTCCTCCTCCTCCTCCTCCTCCTCCTCCTCCTCCTCCTCCTCCTCCTCCTCCTCCTCCTCCTCTCTTCCTCTCCTCCTCCTCCACCTCCTCCTGCTCCTCCTCCTCCTACTGCTCCTCCTCCTCCTCCTCCTACCTGCTCTCCTCCTCCTCCTCCTCCTCCTCCTCCTCCTCCTCCACCTCCTCCTCTCCTCCTCCTCCTCCTCCCTCTTCCTCCTCCTCCTCCTCCACCTCCTCCACCTCCTCCTCCCCCCCTCCTCCTCCTCCTCCTCCTCCTCCACCTCCTCCTCCCCCTCCTCCTCCTCCTCCTCCTCCTCCTCTCCTCCTCCTCCTCCTCCTCCTCCTCCTTCCTCCTCCTCCTCCTCCTCCACCTCCTCCTCCTCCTCCTCCTCCTCCTCCTCCTCCTCCTCCTCCTCCTCCTCCTCCTCCTCCTCCTCCACCTCCCCTCCTCCTCCTCCTCCTCCACCTCCTCCTCCTCCTCCTCCTTCCCTCCTCCTCCTCCTCACCTCCTCCTCCTCCTCCTCCTCCTCCTCCTCTCCTCCTCCTCCTCCTCCTCCTCCCTGTCCTCCTCCTCCTCCCCCTCCTCCTCCCTCTCCTCCTCCTCCCTCTCCTCCTCCTCCCTCTCCCTTCTCCGGGAGGAGGGCTGGACGGGGAGGAGGGGCAGCGCGAGCGCTGACACCGGCGAGCGAAGGAGGGCGAGCTGCCTCGCCCTCCCTCCCTTCCTCCATCCATCTCTCCCGCCTCCCTCCTCCTCCCTTTTCTCCTCTGCGAGCCAGTGGGCAGGACCGAAGGGGCGACAGTTAAGCCCTGACACAGATGCAGCACGGGCCGCATCGGCACACACTGTGCACACAAGCCTGGGATGGGTTTACCTGCATGTCAGGTTCACCCCAGGCTTCTGAAACAACAGCAGAGGCATCAGACAGAACCAAGTGCAGATTCAGGTGCCCTGAGCAAAGACTCTGCGTTCACCTGCTGTGGGAGGACTGCGCGGCCACGCTGCGTCACAGGCGCGGCGGCAGACTCTCGCGCCCGGACGCGCGCTAGCAGCGCAAGCATCCCAGGCGTCTGAACAAACTTCTCCGCTCCCGCAGCTGGCGTTGCGACTTCGGGAGGGGCAAGGGGTAGTGGCCGCATAACACAGATAATTGATCCCCCTCCGAGAGGACTGGGAAACACGATCCTCGTTCCTGTAATGAGGGTGGAGTCCAGAAACAATGCGAGGCAGGGTGGGTTTGCCCCCTGACCATCTTCGGCCGACGCACTCCTGGCCCAACTTGAAACAACGACGCGACGTGTAAGCGCCGCACGTGGTGCAAAAGAACAGGCTCGATTCTTTGTCTCCGCGTGAGACAACGGTCTGAGCCAGCGTGTGGCCCTTGCTGAAATCTAAAACTCCAAGCCATGTTTTGCTGGGGCCCTTGCAACCCAACAGCGGACAGGTGCCAGGGTCCCTCCAAAACTGCAGGCACCTGAGGCACCTAGAACGACCCGCGTCCAAAAGTTCCCAGTGGTGCCAGCCTCCAGACCTGAGGAACTTAAGCCAAGGTCCAGAAAAAGGACTCCTTTCGAACCTCTCGACGGGGAAAACGCACAAATCTTTGGCCATGACTTTGGCCGCAAGCACTAATTTGTCAATCTGCTCGCTAACCTCTTGATAGAGAGCTTCGGAGGCTTGGGGGTGGAGGAGGAAAGCTTGTCAGCATACCGATTACCTATGCCGATTCTCCTCTCGGGCTCAGGGAGACTGTCGAGGGCCTCCTGAGATCTATGAGCGGGGGTATGGAAGACACGAAACTCATGGTCCGATTTCTCATAGAGCACGGCCCCCCGACGCATTCCTCCGTAACGATGCTTGTAAAACACCTGGTGATGCGACGCAGCGTTACACAACTTAGTCACCGTAGCGCAATCCGAGTATCTGTCACCGTTGTACTCAACAAACATAGGCAGCACCGCCATAGCCTGGTGCTCGGCCGCCTGGGGGGTCTGCTGGAAGACGTCCCACACCGCTCCTTTGGCGAAGGCTCGCACCTCACCAGCGTCGTCCAGAAAGACCCAGGCATAGGCGGCACGAGACAACTCCCTAATCACATGCCGATCGCACGGCCCATCCATGCAGACGTCGAGGCCTCGGAGGTCCACGAAATCCCATCGGATTTCTTTGCCTGAAGGATCATACAACTTGGGGTTGGGGTCGTCGCTGGGGCAGGGCGTTCGGGACCCAGGCTGGTCCCATTTCAGCTCATCCCAGAAACAACAGTCGTCACTGCTAATCGCCTCGGCCAGCCAAGTGGGATGGTCGTCTGTAACTTCCTGGCGAGCCTGCGCAGCGTCTGGATGGTCGCACTCCCAAGCACGGTGCTTCACACCGTCAGCGCGACCGCACAACGGACACCCTCCGTCACAATTGTAGCCTGCCGCCCGTGCTCGTGCGCGTGTCCACACGACTGCGCAGAACGCGGTGACAGCCAAGTACTTTTCTCTCGTGCTCAGTTTCTTGCTAGTGGGGCCAAGGAGCTTAACCAGAGGCTCCGTGCACACCCTCCTACCGACAAACGACGGGGAGAGCTCAGCCAAGACCCTCTCGTGATGCCTCTGGGTCCCCAGCTGAAGTAACTGAGCCACGAGGGAGGGGGAATTGAAACCAAGGTGAACCACCCTGTTGAAATCATCGACCCACGCCAGAGCCGACACAGATTGCCAGCCAATCCTATTGAGCGAGAGATGCATTCTCTGGATGGGCCCACGAGAGCTCTTCCAAGACAACCCCTCACCCCGAGGAATAACATTCCACATCTGGCACAGCTCCTTAATGTTATAGTGGGACGTGGAGGGGGAGGTGAGGGCAATCCACACAATATGAGCCCAATGCAGGGCTGGGACAACTCCAGCCCTCCAAGCAGGGTCCCCACAAAAGGCCAACATGACATGAAACGAAACGCCCTGGTGGTACGGGGGTTTGTACGCAAGTAAAACTCTCTGGGCTTGTTTCATCTCCTGATCGTCCATACCGACAATGGCGGCCCCGAGCGTGGCCGCAGGGGCCACACCCGACACGTAGATTTTGCCAATTCTACCCTTCTGACGGGGCAAACGGTCGCGATATCTTTTCAAAATGGCGTGTCTCTTAGACATACGTTTGAGACGTTGCTTCCGTTTCCATAAAGCGTGACGCGACGACCGTGTTTGTCCCATCGCCAGGTCGGTTCCTACCACGACCGCGTTGTTGGTGATCGTGCCCGCCATGCCGCCGAGCAGCCTGCCGAGCTTGCGCGCCAGCGAGAGGGAACTGGCATACGTGGTAAGCTTGTCCGCCTGTAGCTGGACCTTCACGTGATCCCGAAAAATGATGTACATGGCCGCCGCAGCCTTGGACATCCGATCAAGCACCTCGAGCTCACTCTCTCCTTCTGTCGTGAGCGAATCGTCATCAACATACGACGATAAGGAAACCATCGGGTGCTCAAGGGTGAACTGATCAAACGCAGCTAAACTGTACACACGAACAAACAAATCGTTGAACATATCACCCGCTGGCAACCCCGACCCCGCAAACATCGGAGTGGTTCCGTACTGAGCCCCTAAACTATCCCTCCTCCTCTCTCTCCTTGTTCCTCCTCCTCCCCCTCCTCCTCCTCCCACCCTCCCTCCTCCTCCCACCCTCCCGCCTCCCTCTCTGTCCTTCCATCTGTCCTTCACTCCCTCTCTCCTTCCTCGCTTCTTCATGCCCCTTCCACGCTTCTGCCGCGCTGTTAGCCTTCGCAGCCTGCTGCCCCTCAGACTGTGGCAGCACCCAGTCCGCGTCGAACTTTCGAGGCAGCGCGCTGGAGGGCAGCCTCGGCTTTGTGGTAGGTAGCTCTCCTGCTGCTGCTGCTCCTCCTCTTCCTCCTCCTCCTCCTCCTCCTCCTCCTCCTCCTCCTCCTCCTCCCCCTCGTCCTCCTCCTCCTCCTGCTCCTCCTCCTCCTCCTCCCCTTCATCATTGTTGTCGTCTGCCTCCTCCTGCTCCTTCTTCTCCTACTCCTCCTTCTTCTCCTATTCATTCTCCTCCTGCTGCTCCTCCCCCTCTCCCTCTCTCCTCCTGCTTTTCCTCGTCCTCCTCCTCCTCCGTCTTCTCATCCTCCCCCGTCTCTATGTCTATCTCTTTCTCTGTCTCATTCCCAACCATCCTGTGGTGTTGGGTCCTCGTCGTTTTGAAGAGACGGTCCCCAACTTTGCCACTGGGGCCTTCGGTGGAACTCCCTATGGGGCCACGAACCGTGTGTGGGGTGCGCAGAAATTGGGTGGAATTGCGTGCGAACTTTGCCACTGGGGCCTTCGACGGATCCCCCTATGGGGCCACGAACCGTGTGAGGGGTGTGCCGAAATTGGGTGGTATTGCATGCGAACTTTATCAGTGAGGCCTGCAGTAGAGCTCCAACTGGGGCCGCGAATCGTGTGAGGCGTTCGCCGAAATGGGGTGGAACTGCATGCGAACTTTGCCGCCTTGGCCTTCGGTGGAGCTCCATATGGGGCCACGAACCGTGGTGCGCCGAAATAGGGGTGGAACCGCGTGCGAATTTTGCCACTGGGGCCTTCGGTGGAGCTCCCTACGGGGCCACGTACCGTGTGAGGGGTGCGCCCGAAGGCCCCAGCGGCAAAATTCGCATGCAGTTCCACCCCCATTTCGGCGCACCTTTCGCGCGGTGCGCGGCCCCGTAGGGAGCTCCACCGAAGGCCCCAATGGCAAAGTTCGCATGCGGTTCCACCCCCCATTTTGGCCCACCCCTCACACAGTTCGTGGCCCCATAGGGGGCTCCACCGAAGGCCCCGGTGGCAAAGTTCGCATACGGTTCCACTCCCATTTCGGCGCACCCTTCACACGGTTCGTGGCCCCATAGGGAGCTCCACCGAAGGCCCCAGCGGCAAAGTTCGCATGCAGTTCCACCCCCATTTCGGCGCAACCCTCACACAGTTCGTGGCCCCATGGTGAGCTCCACCGAAGACCCCAGTGGTAAAGCTCGCATGCAGTTCCACTACCATTTTGGCGCACCCCTCACACAGTTTGTGGCCCCATATGGAGCTCCACCGAGGGCCTCAATGGCAAAATCCGCATGCAGTTCCACCCAATCTCTGCACACCACTCACACGGTTCGTGGCCCCATAGGGAAATCAACCGAAGGCCCCAGTGGCAAAGTTCGCATGCAGATCCACCCCCATTCGGCGCGCCCTTCACACGGTTCGTGGCCCCATAGGGAGTTCCACCGAGGACAGTATTTACCATTGCGTTACACACAACTGCATATGTTTGGGTCCTTCGCCAGGATAATTAATGTTTCTCTCTTCGTCTCTCTCTCTCTCTCTGTTTCCCTCACGTCTTACCATTACCTTCTTTCCCCAGCCATGCAGTGGTGTTCGCCCTCGCTTTGGAGAGACAGTGCCCCGCGTTCCTCCTCCTCCTCCTCGCCCCTCCTCGCCCCTCCTCCCCATCCCCCTTCCCATTTCGGCAGGCCCCCCACACGTATCGTGGCCCCATCGGGAGCTCCACCAAAAGCCACAGTGGCTGTGGCCACATGCGTCGCGCGCCATCCAGTATGTCGTTGCGTGGCCCCATAGGGAGCTCCACCGAAGGCAACAATGGCTGTGACCACATGCGTCCCGCGCCACCCAGTACGGCGTTTCGTGACCCCATATGTAAGGAGCTCTACCAAAGGCCACGATGGCTGTGACCACATGCGTCGCGCGCCACCCAATACGGCGTTACGTGGCTCTATCGGGAGCTCCACCGAGGGCACCAGTGGCTGTGACCACATGCGTCCCGCGCCACCCAGTACAGCGTTGCGTAGGGAGCTCCACCGAAGGCCCCAATGGCTGTGATCACATTCGCCCCGCGCCACCCAAAACGGCGTTTCGTGGCCCCATAAGGAGCTCCACCGAAGGCCACTGTGGCTGTGACCGCATTCGTCCCGCGCCACCCAGCACGGCGCTTGCTGGTACCATGAGGAGCTCCACCGAAAGCACCAGCGGCTATGACCACATGCGTCCCGCGCCTTTCAGTACGGCGCTTCGTGGCCCCATGGGGGTCTCCACCGAAAGCCACAATGGCTGTGACCACACATGCGCCCCGCGCCACCCAATATGGCGTTGCGTGGTGGCCCCATAGGGAGCTCCACCGAAGGCCTTAATGGCTGTGATCACATTCGTCCCGTGCCACCCAGTACGGCGTTACGTGGCCCCATAAAGAGCTCCACCGAAGACTCCAGTGGCAGTGACCACATGCGTCCCGCGCCACCCAGGCCACGATGGCTGTGACCACATGCGTCCCGCGCCACCCAGTACGGCGCTACGTGGCTCTATCGGGAACTCCAGTACGGCGTTTCGTGGCCCCATCGGGAGCTCCACCGAAAGCCCCTGTGGCTGTGGCCACATGCGTCGCGCGCCACCCAGTACGGCGTGCCGTGGCCCCATATGGACCTCCATCGACCCCCCCCCTGGCTGTGATAACATTCGCCTCCCCCCGCCCATTCCGGGACACTCTTCACGCGCTTCGTGGCCCCATGCGGAGCTACACCGAAGGCCACACTGGCAACGTTCGCATGCGCCCCTTCCCGCCCATGTCGGCATATCCCTGACGCGTTTCGTGGCCGCATAGGGAACTCCACCGAAGGCCCCAGTGGTGCCGCTGGCATGGCGGCCCCGCTCCATTTTGACACAGCCTTCGCACGCTTCGTGGCCCCATAGGGAGCGCCAGCGAAGGCCCCAATGGCTGCACCCGCATGTGTCCCCGCCATATTTCGGCACACCCTTTACACGCTTCGTGGCCCCATGGGGAGATCTACCGGATGCAATACCAACGACGGCGATTCTCACAACTGCATAAGGTTGGGCCCTTAGCCAAGATGTTGGTTATCAGAGTGAGGGGGCCGAACGGTCATTCATTGTCCCTGGGTGCGTGGCTGAAGTGAGAATCCGTGGTGAGGATTATGCTTGTTGAGTTGTTTTTGTTGTGTTGTGTTGGTCTTGTTGTTCTTGTTGTTGTTTTTGGTTGTGGTTGTGGTTGTGGTTCTGGTTGTTGTTGTTGTGGTGGTTGTTGAACTCTCATTTCTGAAAAATGATTATTGTTGATCCCCCCTCACCGGTGCATACTGTTTTTCCTTGATCAAAGTGTGCCCCTCGACGCTCACAAGCTGTGTTTTGACAGGGAAAATCTTGGTGCTCAAACTGGGCCCCTGCCCCCCCGGATTACAACAACAACGACTCCCGCCTGGACTTCCCCACAATTTACTCAGGACCCCCGCTCCTAAGACTTCCTCACAATTTACTCAGGATCGGTGCTCCCGCCTGTGACTTCCTCGCAATTTAGTCAGGACCCCGGCTCCCGCCTGAGACTGCCCCACAATTTACTCAGTAACGGCGCTCCCGCGTGAGACTTCCTCGCAATTGAACCAAGACTTCCTCGCAATTTAATCAAGACCCCCGCTCCCGCCAGAGAGCCCTTCACATTTTATTCAGGAGTTGCGTTCTCGCCTGTGACTTCCATGCGATTTATTCAGAAATCGCGCTTTCGACGCTCCAGAAATACGCTGCGTCAAGGACGCCATTAAAATTTACTTCGTAATCGCGCTCTCGCCATACTCAGGCATCCCGCTTGAATGTCCCATCTGCCCGACCCGCCCGTCAGGGGATCGCCCGCCCGTCGTGGGCTCCCGCCCGAGACTTCCTTCAGGAACGGCGTTTTCGCCTAGGACTTCCTCGAACGTTCACGCTCTTACCTTCCTGCTCCTCCTCCCTCTCCCTCCTCCCTCCTCCCTCCTCTCCTCCCTTCTCTCTCCCTCCCTCTTCCCTCATCCTTATGCCTCTCTGCCCTATCCCCTCTCCCTCCTCTCCCTCCTCCCTTCTCCCTCCCCTCTCCTGCCTCCTCCCTCCCTCCCTTTTTTTTTTTTTTTTTTGTTTTTTTTTTTTTTTTGTTGTTTTTTCTTTCTCTCTCTCTCTCTCTCTCTTTCCCCTCTCTCTCTCTCTCTCTTTCTCTCTCCCCTTTCTCTACCTCTCTTATCAGTCTTTCTCTGTTTTTTTTGTTGTCTCTCTCTCTCTGCCTCTGATAAGCCGCCCCCCTCTTCGCTCCTTCTCTCCTGGCGTTTTCCCTCTTTCTTCGTCCCTCCCCCTCCCTTCCTCCCGCTCTCCCTCGTTCCGCCCCTCCTCTTTTTGCAGGGCCCACACCCATTCCAATGGCGGGCACACGTACGCTCACGAAGGACTGTCCGCCCGCCGCCCCCCGCAAAGAGAAATAATCCCTCCAAAGGCGGTGTGAGCGAAGACAAAAAGGACGGGTATCGAGGGTGTGGGGAACTCGCTTTGAATGGGCACGCGGGCAAGTAAGAGCGAACAGTCTTAGAATGATTGAACTCGTATTTCGGAAGATTGGTTATTGTTGATCCGATCCCACCGGTGCATATTGTTTTTCTCCATCAAAGTGTGCCCCTCGACGCTCGCACCATGTTTTTAATTAGTGAAGATCTTGAAGCTCAAATTGGGCCCTGGCCCCCGGGTTACAACAACAAGTGCTCCCGCATGAGACTCCCTCACCATTTAGCCAGGACCTCCGCTCCCGCCCGAAACTTCCTCGCACTTGATTCAGGAATCGCGTTCTTGCTTGGGACTTCCTTACAATTTATTAAAGTATAGTTCTCCCGGCGCTCTGGAGTCGCGCTCTCGCTGGAGACTTGCTTGCAATTTACTGAATAATAACGCCCTTGCGTTGGAATTTCCTGCAATTTACTCAAGCGCCGCGCCCCCGACACCCAGGCACCCAGGAGTCGCGCTCACGCTTAGGACTCCCTCACAGATTACAGAGGAATCGGGA